TTTCGTTCCGGAGCCGCGCGAGGGAGAGCTGCATCTTTACTCAGGGAAACGAGAGGGGTGAGCAGGGAGGAGGTGAGGGAAAAAGAGGACGAGGGGGGGAGGGAGAAACTATGGGCAGCTCGAGACAAAGCTGCGAATATCAGGGGCGGGACCTCTAAGAAAGCGCAACATGGAAAATCCTTACTTTCGATGGTGCTTTGCGGATGCTCAACGCAATCCTGGTTACAGCTCCAGTCAGGACGTCACGGACTTCTCGGACATGGATTGATTCAGGTTCTCCTTGAGCGCGTGCGCCTATCCTTAGCTTGCAGGTTGTCTGTTCGGAGCGTCCTATCGCTGTGTGTCGTATCGCTAACCTTGATCACCATACATAATTTCGAGCACTAAGGAGGCACCGGAGCTGTAGGGTTTTCACGTGTCGGGCCCTGGGAGGCGATACTCGATCGACACTGCGCTAGCGTGTCGAGCATACACTGTTCCGATATTTCTCGGGTCCTCGAACTTTGTTCCGGGATGTGGTCCTCAAGTGCGACGAGAACAACATCAATTATCGGCAGTCTTCTTCTACGGCCTTGCGCCAATCACTTGGGGCTCCCTGAAAGATGGAGTGCAGGCGATCTGGATCATCTCCCGCCGCCTGTAATCCACTTGCAGGTGCGGGCGCCCCCTGGCGCGAGCAATGTCCCAATCTTTTGGCAGCGTGTCGGCTGCCGCTCATGTCTCAATGACCGTGCTCCTTGGAACGCTCTCTGGACAGGCTGCTGCAAGTTTACCATGAAGTAAAAGTTGACGTCGTATTACAAGTGCAGACAAAAGGTTTGGCGTCTGCCGTTGATCTCATTGTGGCATTGTTTTCCGTGAAAAGTACGCTGTCGGAATTTTGTGATAAGTCGAGTTTCAGTAACATTTTATTTTCCAGCCCCTACATCAGCTGTGAATATATGCAGACATTCAAAACCTTTGTTTACGTTGTTTGCTGATGCTGGCGTGGTTACATGCAGTGCACATCTTTTCGAATACCCCTTCTGCTTCCCCATGCCTTCGTGCCACCTCAGTTTTAGGATTCCCGTCAGCGCTCAAACACTCTTCCAATGTACATTACGTGGTCCTTGCGTTCGATCAGATTGTCTTCCAGGCCTGCAACATTCGTTTCTGAGCGGATTCCCAAAAAACATGGTTTCCGATGCGGTGAGCTCCAAATCAAATGCTCTCCCGGCTTGTATAAGAGCATCCAGATGAAGTTGAGAGTCGTCTGGCTCGTGGCTACAAACGTTGTCCCGCCGACATAGAAACCATCCTTGATGACCGCCTATTTGTTTGAACGGTTATCGTAAGCAGACCTCTCAAGCTTTTTGGTCGACCGCCTCCATAAGCACTGACATGACGATGCTGAACAGATACGGTGATGATGGGCGTCCCTGCGCTATGTCCGCAGCCTGGGCTCTAGCGGTAGCGGTTGAGGTCTCATCTTTGACAGCGAACTTTCTGCTCGGGTGGATCGCTTGCACCATGTCGACCATGGCCGGGGGCACGCAGAGGCGGCGGAGAGCAAGTATGAAGCCTTTTGGTTTGATTCTGCCGAATTCATCAGTCCAATCCAGTGCTACCGGGAACAAGCTCCCTTCTTTATCTTCCGTAGTTGCGTCGATGATCTGGCGCGCCAAGAACAACGCGTCAGTCGTGCTTCGTCCGGGGCGGGATCCATATTGAAATTCCCTCAACGGTTTCTCCACCCCGCCAAGCTTTAATATCTGCGAGTGCAAGATCGTATTTGCCAGTGAATACTTTTGTATCTAACATCAAGAAGCGATATCGGTTTGTAAATATTAGGCTGTGAGGTGTCATTTTGTTTGGAAGTATCAGCAATGATCGTCTCCCTTTATTGCTATTCGGGTATGTCTTTCTGTTGCCAGCATGTGTTGCATAGGTCCAAGAGGATCCCAAGTGCCGCATCACTTTGCCATAGCGCTTGCCACACATCCGGCAGCACGCCGTCGCTGGCAGCACGACTTCTGCTTTGAACAGATTTCGAAACCGACCAGTCTGCGTAGACCAGCCTTCCTTCAGAGACCAGATGGTTCCCCCAAAACCGTGTTCGATTGAATCTTCTGGCCATTTCTTTCGGTCCGCCCGCGCTGAGGATTGGATTTGTTTGTTCAGTCTCCTGACCTCGTCATTGTCGCAATCGCGCTGTCTACGAAGGTTCCTCTGTTCGAAAAAATTGCAGCGTCCGCTGCGTGATCCATGGTTTGTGCGGGGTTGTGGCGAGAGCCGGTATATTTTCTTTTGCTGGTTTTCTTTGGGCCAGCGGAACTCCGATTCCCATGCGTTGGCGATGGCCGAAGCGGCTGCTGGAATGCCCAAGCGCTCTTTGCCCGCAAACGCCGCCGCCACGCAGACGAGGACATGGCTGCTCTGGGGCCACCTTGTGGCCACCTCCGACACGCATGGGCTGGAAGGCGATACCGCTGCATGGAGGTGCCCTGGCGATTCTACAGCCTTGCTTAGCTCAGGCACCAGCTCTGGAGCAGGCGTTGGCATCGTCATGAAGAACACCTTCCTCAAGAAGTTCACACAGTAACCGCACCTTGCTGGTCACAGGTGGTGCCGGGCAGATCTGGCTGTTTGCGGCTTCGTGGTGCAGATGGCGATCTCGACATCCATGTGGTCTATTTCGGGAGTGGCGTCGATGGCATGGTTGTGCAGCGCGGTGGCCAGGCCCCCGCAGGTTGGGATGATAGCGTCCTCCAACAGCGTCGCCGCATGCGTCGTGACCTCGCTGTGGTCGTTGCGCCTCGCACCGAGGTTTTGTCTCTTGCGTTCGGTGAATTCAAGGGGGGTTTTCGGCCAGAGGACAGACAATCCAAAGGCGGCAGTCCAAGGCGGGCGCTTCTTTCACGGGGCGAGCGGACGCGGCAGAGGAGAGGGAGGCTAACGCGGAGCTTTGGCAGCCGCGCGGCCTTCACGAGCTAAGGCAGGACCAGGCATCGCACGCGAACGCGATGTCTTGGAGAGCGCTTGGACCGCATTTGTTGGAGCGCCCCCTTGGACAACCAACTGGGCAAAGTACATGAATTCAGTGCTCTGGAATGGTTTCTGGCGCTATCCACCATGAAAAGGCGTTCGACACAGTCGAACACGCTGCACTGTTGGCAGACCTGGCGTACCAGGGAGTCCCGATCGCATACATCGATGTGTTGAAGCGCCTCTACGCAAGGCAAACAGCCACTGTGATCGCTGGCGAGAGAAGTAGACCCTTCGATATTTCGCGGGGCATGAAACAGGGGGGTCCGATACATTCTTCTTATTTCATCGTGGTCCTGGGAGCTATATTCCAGAAGTTGAAGGCACGCTGGAACAGGCTGAGTAGCAAGCGCACTGGAATGCATCATGGGTTAGTGGTGGATGACCCCGACGTTCCCCGACAAATCTGCGCTTCGCCGATGATGTGTTCGTTCTTTCTGGATGCAAAAGGGACGTCTCTAGAATGATCGCGGATTTGGAGGCGGAGGCCAAGAAATACGGCCTGAAGGTCCATATGGGCAAGACAGTGATACTGTCCAATGCATCTGGCCGGCTGCCACGTGTAAAGCGCGGCGTGCACAATGTGAGAGTGATCCAGCACGGCTAGTCAGATCAGTATTTTGGCACAAATTTCTCTGGATGACGTCCACGGGGCAGAATTTGGCAACCGGCTCGCTTCCGGATGGGCTGCGTTCCGCGCCTTGAACGATTTGTTGTGCAACAAGCTCTACCGTATCCGCCGTCGTCTAAGATTGCTCAAAGCATGCGTGCCGCCCTGCGTTCTGAATGCCTCCAGCGCGTGGGCGCTCGCAGCGGCCCAGGAGCGAACGCTTCGATCCGCTCGGCGCCGGATGCTGAAACAGATGGCGGGAGTTCGACGGTTATTTGACGAAGACTGGGCTGATTACATACGGCGTTCCACGCGCTCCAGTATGCAGCTTGCTGGGTGAAGCGGCGCGGGCGATTGGGTGTCTATGTTCTGGAAAAGGCGATTGGACATTAGCAGGCGAGCATTCTTCGCCCACCAACCGCAGATGGAACGCGAAACCTGTTGGTGTTGATTGGGTGCAGTGGTTTCGGGCGAACGCGAGGATAAGCGCGGGCCGCCCGCGGGAAAGGTGGACAGACGTGTACCTGTTTGAAATTCCTGTTCTCCCGTTTCCCATGCCGCCGCTGCCGTTGTTGCTGTGCTGCTGTTGCCCCCCTCCGCCGTCCGTGCGTTCGCCGTTCTTTTGCCCTGCTGCCTCTCTCTCGCTTGCTTCGTTGCCTCTTCCTCCGCGCTGCTCTCTGCTCGGTCTGCTCTGCTGCTTGTCCCCCCCGTCCTCGTCCATCGGCCCCCCGCGTCCTCCTGCCGTCCGCTTTCTCTCCCTGCCGCTGCTGCTGCCGATCGCGCTCTTAACCGGGCGTCTGGCGCGCGGCGTCTGTCACGCCACGCAGTGGTAATATTTCTCCATCTCGCACAGCTGTTTCGCAGTTTCTCACACCCACCAAATCACCCCAACCCAACCCGAAGGCCCAAATTTATTCTCGATTTCCAGTGTGGGGGGGTCGGGGAATATTAAAAAAACGCATGGAATCCGTACCCCCCCCAACCCGAAATTCGGGTCAAATTCGGGTCTTTGGGTTGGGTTGGGGTGGTCTGGTAGGTAGTCAGTTTCACGCTTGAAGATTCTTCTCGCACCTCGCCGGTAATGTCGGCCCGGCGCCCTGCTTGGGCAGGCGGAATTCCCGCCTCCCCACGGGCCGCTCTGCTTTGCTTTCCTAACCGTGCTCGGATAGACGCGGCGCCGATGAGTTCGACGGTTCTCAGCGACGAGGCCTGGCCGACGCGCGTCGCTGCGGATGTCCGTGACCTCCGGGCCCGCCAGCGGAACGCACGGGATCGAACTCCGCTTTCGGATCTGCTGCTTCTCAAAAAGGCCATGCGAACTGCGGCTGATCGCGTGCGCCGCGAATCGCGGCGCCGAGCGGGTCAGGTGGCTGCGGCGGCGAATCTGCTTGGGCTCGCCATGCAGTTCTTGGGGGTTGCTGAGCGGGGGCGCGCCAGCACCATGCGGCGATGTGTATTGGCTCTGCCGCGCCTGGGCGAGTTGGCGGCGGGGCCGTTGGTGCTGGCTAGTCAACGTGGTGATGCCCTGCAGCCGTGCCGCGACATGGTACTCGAGCTCTCGGTGGCCTCTGCCATCGAGCAACTCGCGGCGCTGCTGGGCCAGCGGCCCAACTTGTCCGTGCACGAGGACGCCGCGCGACGCAGACGGATGCATCGCCTGTTGCGCCGTCTTTCGCTGGGGCGCTCCGTTGGGTTCTCGCCCGCGCTCGGGCCGTTGGGCGAGGTGCTCGCGGGCTTGGCAGAGATGGCATACGAGTTTCGTCGGCTCTGGGGCGATGAGTATGCCCAGAGGCTGGCCAACCGCGACGAGTTCGAGCAGTGGATAGTTGCGGACAGTACCCCGCGGCCGCCGCGGGCCGAAGAGGAAAGGTGGCGGCTGCGCGCAACCCGCGCGCGGCAAGCTCTAGGCCAGTCACCCAGCTCGGCGCCAGGACCTGGCGGGCTACCTTTCCTTGGCCCGGCGGCCGTTGGGCCCCCCCGCAACGGGCGCCCGTTGGTGAGCTCTGCAGTCTTTGGCGGCGAATTCGCCGCCGGCCGACCTCGACTATCGCGTGGGCAATTTGCTCGGAATTGCGAAAGTTTATGTTACCCGTTTGTCGCGCACCCACGTCGTAGCAAGTTTCTGGCGAACGATTCGGTGGAGCACTGCCTGGGTTGCCCCGAGTTTCGCCGTCATGGTCAGCTTCGACGCCGGCTCCGATGTGCGCTTATATACATTCAAGGAGCGCGGCCTGCGTTTCATGCTCCTCGCGGGCGCCCGCGCGCTCATGGACGTGATGCTCACCCGGCGGGCCCTGCTGTTCGTTGCGTCCTACTTGCTGCGTTGCCAGTGCCGCCGCCGGCTGGCTTTCTCCAATCCCGAAGTCCCACGTCGCGCTTTTAATCAGGCTGTGAAAGATGCGGCCCAGGGGCATGTCGGAGCCCTCCGCGCGTTGGACAACATGTGGGCGGACGATGATCCCGGCTCATAGGCGTGAGGGCATCCACACCGTTCAGCAGCAGTATCATCGGCCACGCGGCCGGGACAGGTGAACAGACGGGGCTTGCGTGCACGTACTTTGCCTCTTTCCTCTCTCCTCTTCGCCTCCGTCCCACCCTCCGCCTCGTCCGAATCGTGATGCGAGGCTGCGGTTCCAGGCCGGCTGGCCGCTCCGAGGCCAGAGCGCTCGGTGCGAGCGCGCAATCGCCCCTCTCCTTTCTCCCTCCGCCTCGCCTCCCTCCTTCGCCCCGCGTGGCTGGTCATCCGCACGTGGCCTTCAGTTTCGGCGGCGTTCCCGGCCCTTTCGGCGGCGCTCCCGGCCCCGTTGTATCTGCCAGGTGCATGTGCAAGATACGTGCTCGGCTGGCGACTTTGCATGTTATTGAACATCTCCAGGCTGCGCCCAGCTCGTCTTTTAGTTTCGGTCGCGCTGTCTTGTGTTTCCCTCTTGTCCGCCCTGTCTGTCCTCCCCCTGTCTGACATATGGGGCCGGCCGATTCAAGTCTTCAAAGTGCACGTTCCCATTACGTTGGTTATTGATTTTATGGCTGTTGCGGCCACCTGGGATGCACGCGCGATCAACGCTGAGGGCGGATGCGTTGCAGATTTACGCGTCGCCACTTCCCTTTTGTTCCTCCTTCTCCGCTTCTTCTGCTCGTTCCTCCTCTTGTGGCGTGTTTTGAATTCGGGTCACATTCCTATCATTTGCTTCGTATTGTGCTGCGGCTACTTCTGTGCTTTTGTGTTGTGCCCGTAAAATGAACGGTCGATCGGATCATAGGGGGGTGCACGCACACGCAACGATTTAATCTTTCCGCCTTCCTCGGCCGCGAGCTGTGCTGTCATCGGTTATCATCGGCATTGTCATCGGTCCGGGGGAAAAAACAGTTTCCTTCGAATTTGGACCCACGTCGAAATATGTAGTCGCGACGCATGCTTCCATACCAACGCAAACGTACACAAGTTTTTGTTAGACAAAGTATCCCAAGTGCCATGGTTGCTTTCGAACACCAGTTTTCCTATCACATTTTTACATAACAGCTTTTGCTGATAGGTTGCTAGTGGGCTCAAAGGAGAGCATCTTGACGCCCCAGTGGGGTCTGGGCGGGATCCGGACAAAACGGGACAAAAGGGTCAGCCCCAGGAATTCTTAGGAATCCTTAGGAATTCTTAGGAATCCTTAGGAATGCATTCCCAGAACACCATTCCTGTACCATATTTTGATTGCCCAGAGCCAACTGTAGGCCACTTCGTGTTCTTCGTCTTCCCAGAACACCACTCCCAGGCCACATGTTGAATGCCCGGAGCCAACCGTAGGCCACGTCGTGTCTTCCCAGAACACCATTCCTGTACCATATTTTGATTGCCCAGAGCCAACTGTAGGCCACTTCGTGTTCTTCGTCTTCCCAGAACACCATTCCCAGGCCACATTTTGAATGCCTAGAGCCAACTGTAGGCCACTTCGTGCTCTTCGTGTTCCCAGAGCACCATTCCTGTACCATATTGTGATTGCCCCGAGCCACTTGTGGGCCACTTCGTGATCTTCGTGCTCCCAGAACACCAGTCCTGTGCCATATTTTGAATGCAAGAGCTGAGGCAGGCTGAGGCCGAGGCAGGCTGAGGCCGAGGCAGGCTGAGGCCGAGGCAGGCTGAGGCCGAGGCTGAGGCACGCCGAGGCAGGCTGAGGCTGAGGCTGAGGCAGGCTGAGGCTGAGGCAGGCTGAGGCTGAGGCTGAGGCAGGCTGAGGCTGAGGCTGGCTGAGGCTGAGGGGAGGCTGAGGCTGATGAGGCTGAGGCTGAGGCTGAGGCTGAGCTGAGGCAGGCTGAGGCTGAGGCAGGCTGAGGCTGAGGCAGGCTGAGGCTGAGGCAGGCTGAGGCTGAGGCTGAGGCTGAGGCAGGCCTGAGGCTGAGGCTGAGGCTGAGGCTGAGGCTGAGGCTGAGGCTGAGGCAGGCTGAGGCTGAGGCTGAGGCAGGCTGAGGCTGAGGCTGAGGCTGAGGCTGAGGCTGAGGCTGAGGGCTGAGGCTGAGGCTGAGGCTGAGGCTGAGGCAGGCTGATGAGGCTGAGGCAGGCTGAGGCTGAGGCTGAGGCTGCAGGCTGAGGCAGGCTGAGGCTGAGGCGAGGCAGGCTCAGGAGGCTGAGGCAGGCTGAGGCTGAGGCAGGCTGAGACTGAGGCTGAGGCAGGCTGAGGCTGGGAGGCTGAGAGGCTGAGGCTGATGCAGGCTGAGGCTGAGAGGCTGACGCTGAGGCTGAGGCAGGCTGAGGCTGAGGCTGAGGCCGAGGCAGGCTGAGGCTGAGGCTGAGGCAAGCCAGGGCAGGCTGAGGCTGAGGCTGAGGCTGACGCTGAGGCAGGCTGAGGTTGAGGCTGATGCAGGCTGAGGCTGAGGCTGAGGCTGAGGCTGAGGCCGAGGCAGGCTGAAGCTGAGGCTGAGGCTGATGCAGGCTGATGCAGGCTGAGAGGCTGAGGCAGGCTGACGCTGAGGCTGAGGCAGGCCGAGGCTGAGGCCGAGGCCGAGGCCGGCTGAGGCTGAGGCTGAGGCCGAGGCTGAGGCTGAAGCTGAGGCTGAAGCTGAGGCTGAAGCTGAGGCAGGCTGAGGCTGTGGCCGAGGCTGAGGCAAGCTGCGGCTGAGGCAGGCTGAGGCTGAGGCTGATGCAGGCTGAGGCTGAGGCAGGCTGAGGCTGAGGCTGAGGCAGGCTGAGGCTGAGGCTGAGGCTGAGGCAGGCTGAGGCTGAGGCCGAGGCAAGCCGAGGCAGGCTGAGGCTGATGCAGGCTGATGCTGAGGCAGGCTGTGGCTGAGACAGGCTGAGGCCGAGGCTGAGGTAGGCTGAGGCTGAGGCAGGCTGAGGCTGAGGCCGAGGCAGGCGAATCCTTAGGAATCCTTAGCATTCCCTAGGAATCCTTAGGAATCCCTAGGAATCAAGATTCCTAAGGATTCCTAAGGTTTCCTATGGATTCCTAAGGATGCCCAAGGATACCTTAGGAATCCCTAGGAATCCTTAGGCTTCCATTGGATCCTAAGGCCGTTGCCACTGCGACTGTCATTGCGAATGCGACTGCGACTGCGAGAACAGCAGAATTCTACAACTGGATTCTCACCTGAATCTCAAGGGGAATGCTTCCAGATATGCTTATACACATCGCTGTTAGATTGCTTTGCCAGGATACTTTTGTCCAACATATGGTTGCAGCAATTTGGAGTTGGCGTCCGCCAGCCATATCGTCGGCCCATGGGATCGGCATATGTTTGGTGAATTTGCCGAGGTCGGTAAAAACATCGTGACGAATGTCGTAGTCGTATTCCATTGTGAAAACGTAGATTGTAACCAACGTGACTCGTGCCCGTACGCTTACCATTCGATCATTTTGTTGCAAATAGAAGGTTGCAGCATGTTTTGCCCCAGGTGCAATAATCAACCCAACACTCCAGCGTATATTCATCTTTCGCACTCCGTCCCAGATGAAATGAAACATGTTGTTTTCGAATTAAGTGGGCCTCTTGGATACGCAGCATCGGAATGTCCAGATGTGTTATATGTTTGATCATCTCGTACGGCTTGTGCGGGCTGTCTTGGCTGATGCCTTCGATTTTCCAGGGCTCAATCTTACCGCAAGAAATCGGCCTGAAAGAAAAAGTTGCCCATCTGTCCGTCGAAGTTGCACTCGCATTGCCTTTGCGCCGTCCGAGTCCCTATTCATGGGACCTGCCGCCTTTCATACCTTTGCCACCCCTTTTCCAGTCCTGCCCAAGGCGTCATTCGCTCGGGTGGTTGATTGCTGTACTTCAGAACTCTGTGTAAGTTCATCTTACATTGCCCACAGACCATCCCATTTGCTCGGAAGAGTGTAGTTGACGATGTTCACTGTGACCACGGGTTCTGTCGCAATTGTTAGCTTTTGTTCGGTTGTTTCCATTTTCACCTCTGACTTCGCATACGCCCAGCCCAAGACATATTTTTACGAAGACCAAGCAGGGAATTCTCCGGCACAACCTTCTCGATAGGTTGGTCGGCGCGGGCCCGCATTGTGTGTTGATTGTCATTGGATCCGTGCCGCTTTCCCGATGGTGCTCACGCATTTGTCCCAGAAGGTGACGGACTTGAACTTTGCGAAGATGATACTGTTTTGAAGTCGCCCTTCGCCAGAATATCAATGGCCCAGGTGATTTTGCACGACGGTTGTGATCCTTGAGAAACTACGCAGCGGAATCACGAACACGAAGGTCCCCCAAACCACAACTTACAGCATTGCGCTCCCAGTCCTGGTTCGTTCTGAGCTCCGCGATCTGGCGCTCCAACTCCAGCAAGTCGCTCTCAATCTGACATGTGATGTGGTAGTTTCCAGGGAGCGCGCGGATGGTGATGCCATCGACGGAGACCTGGTATCGGACTGCTCCAAAACCTCTGGACACGATCAGTAAGTCTGTGCATGTCGCATTTGATCGGGTCCAAGGCCTCTTGGAACTCTTCTCTGGAAATCCCGTGTTCCTTGATAGTTTCGATGTCTTTGTGGATTTGCTTCAAGCGTTGCTGGAACCTGACCTCGATCGCGGTCATGCTGATCCGCCCCGCGGCAGATCCGGCTGCGCCTTTTCCTCCTTTTTCGATTGCGTCCATGGTGATCTCTCCCGTCGTCGCTCCGTTCCTCATTTCCTACTCCACCTTCTTCCTCAGTATCGTCATCAAACCCGTCCATCTCCCGATGTGGGCTGTGAATTTGTCTTGAGGTGTTTTCCCTTGAGCCTCCTTGTGCCACCAAGTTCGTGAGTGGTTATCCGAATTTAAGCTCCCCTGAGCCGTTTGAGGGGTCAGTTGAGAGCGCGAGGGGTGTGCCGAATTGAGCCTTCGTGGCCCTCGGAGCGCAGATCACTCGTTGTCGACGATGTCCCGAGCGAAACAACAGTTTTCGAGATTCAGAGTCTCCTCCGAAGCCGATTTGTCGAGGATATCCTGGGCGAGACGGCCATTTTCAAGTCATCGGGGCACTTTTCATTTCAATTTTTACGCGTCCCAGGAGGATGGGCCGTCGCAATGCGCGAGGCCGCGTCGCAGCCACGTCGCAGCTTTGGCGGCGCAGATCATTTGTGTGTTTCACGTGTCCCAGGAACTGTCACGCGCGTGGGCCTAGCGCTTGGAGCGCATTTCGCTTGTAGATTTACGCGCCCCAGGAGAAGTAATAAATTTTGGCCTCATCGAAGCACCTTCGAAACAGCATCTTCGACACTTCAGAAAGAGCGCGGGGGGGGGGGCGGGTTCGACCCCCGCCCTCCCTTTGACAGAGGGAGGTAGGTTTCGAATCCCCCGCCCCACCCCCTTCCTTCCTCCCCTGCTTCCCCTCCTCTCCTCGGGCCGGCGCTTGCGTCGGCGGCGGCTGGCGGCGGCGGCGGGGACGACGATTTCGTTTTCTGGGCCAGCGCCGGCGCCTGCGGGGGCGGGCGGCGGCGGCGGGGAGCGTCGACGAGGACGACGGTGGTGGTGGTGGTGGTAGGTTGTGGTGGTGGTGGTGGCGGTGGTGGTGGTTGTGGTGGTGGTGGTGTGGTGGTTTGTCGTGGTGGTGGCGGTGGCTGTGGTGGTGGGTGGTGGCGGTGGTGGTGGTTTGGTGGTGGTGTGGTGGTGGTTTGTTGTGGTGGTGGTGGTGGTGGTGGTGGTGGGTTGTGGTGGTGGTGGTGGTGGTTTGGTGGCGGTGTGGTGGTGGTTTGTGGTGGTGGTGGTGAGTTGTGGTGGTGGCGGTGGGTTTTGGAGGTGGTGCTGGTGGTGGTGGTGGTGGCGGTAGTGGTGGTGGTGGTGGTGTGGTTGTTTGTGGTGGTGGCAGTGGGTTGTGCTGCTAGTATAGGTGGTGGTTGTGGCGGTGGTGGTGGTGTGGTAGATTGTGGTGGTGGTGGTGGTGGTAGTGGTGGTGGGTTTTTGTGGTGGTGGTGGTGGTGCTTGTGAGTTGAAGTGGTGATGGTTTGTGGCGGTGTGCTGGTGGTGTGGTGGCGGTGGTGGTTGGTTGCGGTGGTGGCGGTGGTTTGTGGTGGGTTTTTGTGGTGGTGGTGGTGGTGATGGCGAGTTGTGATGGTGGTTGAGGTGGTGGTTGTGTGGTGGGTTGGTGGTGGTGCTGGTGGTGGGTTGACGCGGTGGTTGTGGTGGTCGTCGTGGCGGTGGTGGTAGTGGTGCTAGTCGTCGCTGCGTCTCCGCCGTCGCCGGCGCCAGCGCCGGCGCTGCTGGCCGACGCCAGCGCCGGCGCCGGCGCCAAGGGGGGGAAGGTAGGTTTGAACCCCCTCCCGGCGCTCTGGGGGGGTTTGAACCCCCCCCTTTGGGCTGCCTCTGGTCATCGTCGCTGCGTCCCCGCCGTCGGCGCTGCTGGCGACCGCCAGCGCCGGCACCAGCTGCGGGGGGTGGGGTCGGGAGGTGGGGGGTTTTGGGGGGAAGGGGATTCCCTTTGGTTTTGATCGACGGCGCCGAATGTTGGGGGGGGGGCCACCCCCCGGTTGGAAACGCGCCGCCGAATGTTCCCAAGGCGAGCGCCCGTGAAACGCGTTCTTTCACACATCATTGAAGCATCTTCGATGAGGATGCTGATGATGATGACGGTGACGATGATGATCGTGATGGTGATGCTGATGACGACGACGACGGTGATGATGGTGATGATGAGGAGGAGAACGAAATGAGGAAAAGGACCAGTAGGGACAGGAGCAGACGAGGAACGGGAGGGTGAGGGAGGAGGTAAGGGAGGACGATGATGGTGGTGGTGAGGCCCGCGTGTCTGAGAGTCTACAATCTTATTGTTTTCGCATATCGGATACGCGCGCAATGTTGCATGTGAAAATGCGGTGAGGAAGGCCGATGCATGCCACGGCTGACAAACCAGTCGAGGAAAAGGACGAATGGTTTTTCGGTCAGCAAGGAAGATGTCATATACCTATACGACCACCTTGCGGGTGATAAGGAGGTTTGGGGGGGGAGAGTCCCAGCAATGGGCAACAGTTGTGATCGTTGTTGTGACGATGACAATGGAGAGTGTTGCGTTGCAGCTCGCTCTTGGGAGCGTCGGTGTCGAGTTGTTCACATCACCCTTCGTTCTTTGGCGCCTTGGTACCATTCGTCCCTCCCCCTGGGAACCTGCCCAACCTGTCATCATCGATGAACCCCACCATCGATTTCACAATCGATCTCCCCCGATCGATCACCATCATCATCAACAACAACACGGGTCGCCATCATCACCATCACCAACAACAGCACCAACATCATCATCAGCATCATCATCATCACAACCATCACCATCATCATCACCATCATCATCATCTTCAGCACCATCATCATCACCATCATCATCACCACCATCATCATCAGCAACATTATCATCATCAACATCGTCATCATCAGCATCATCATCATCATCATCATCATCGGGACACCGACGGGCACCGACGGGACACGGGCGGGACACCAGCGGGACACCGCGGGCCCCCAGACGCCCGGACGGCAATCATTTGGTCCTGCCGCGCCTCAGACACACGGGACCCCAGCGGGACACCGGGCGGGACACCGCGGGCCCCAAGACGCCCGGACGGCAATCATTTGGTCCGGCCGCGCCTCAGCCACAGGAGACTTTCTCTCGCCCGCCCACGCAGCTTCGCCTCGCCCGCACGCATGGCACGCACGAACACGAAACCGAAATCGATTTCCCGGTAGGAGGGCTCTCCGTTCCCCTTCGATCTCACCCCCCAACCTCCGACTTAGGACGTGAAATGATTGGAATAGGAGGAGCGGAATGGAAGTGAAGCGAGTGAAAGGAAGGGTCGGAGGAGTTGAAGAGAGGGACGGGTGGACAGACGGACGGGCGGGCAGAGGAGAGCATTCGCGCCGTGCGGGCGAGAGGAAAAATCACACGGTGGCCCCGCAGGCGCGGCATCGCGCACCTCTGCATCGGGAGGGGCCGGAACGCGGGAGTGCTCTCGTTGGCGCTTGGATCGGGGAGATTCCGCTCCTGTGCACCGAGGTGCAGATGCACATGTGGATGTAGCTCTCGACAAACGGGCGGTTGACCGGCAAGCAAACGTTCAAGTGAATTGCGACGCACTCTTTTGGTACGACATCCGTGGAAGGGTGAGCACGTCCGCGCGCGTCTGCGCACGTTCATTCACTGGCGAAAGCGTGTTCGCGCGTGCGTGCTTCCACGCTCGGCGTGCCTCCCTCGCCTCTCCTTGCCCCTGACCCTCGTGCTCCTCGGGCCATGCTCTTCCGTGCCGGCGTTGCCGACTCCTCGCGCGCCTGCTGCTTCACGCTCCCGCGTGGCGACGGCGCTCCCCGGCTCGGGGTTTCCGCGCACTCGCAGACCAGAAAATCGGCGCTGCCGACGATACATCGAAAACGCCTTCGACGAATCACCGCCGCCCCCTGATTTTTGGGATTCGCCTGTGTGGCCAGACGTTTGGGAAAAGTTTGGCCACGCCATGGGACCTTGCTTTCCCCCAGCCGTTGTGGAAGCCCTTCGGGGAACACGTGGGGGAGGAGGAGGAGGATGAGGAGAGGGAGGAAAAAGGAGGATGAGGAGAAGGATGAGGAGACCTCATGGGAGCTTCTCGGGTCATTCTTGCGGTCTCCTGGGAGCCTCCTGGGGCCTTTTGGAGGCCTCTTGGGGGCCTCCTTGGGCCTCTTGGGGGCCTTCTGGGGCTCCTTGGGGGCCTCTTTGGCCGTCTTACGGTGTTCCTGGCCCGTCTGCTTCCGTCGGAAGCCATCCTGGGGCTTTCTTGGGGCGCTTCCGGGTCGTCTTGAATGCCATTTTGGCTGTCTTGGAGGCCTCTTGGGGGCCTTTTGGGTCCCCTTTGGGCAGTCTTGAAAGCATCTTGGGCCGTCCTGGGGCCATCTTGGAGGCCTCTTGGGCGATTTTGGGGCTATCTTGGTGGTCTCGTGGGCTGTCTTGAGCTGTCGGACAGCCGCTTTGAGGTAAATGCTAAAAACCTTCAAAACCAAATCAACAAATCAATGGTTTTGGGCTCTTGGGGCCTTCCTGGAGGACCTCTAGGAGGCCTCTTGGGGCGTCATGTGCCGTCTTGGGACACCTTGGGCCGTCTTGGGTGTTTGTTGGGTCGCCTTGGGTGCATCTTAAGGCCACCTGAGACTTTCTTGGGGCCATCTTGGTAGTCTTGGAGGCATCGTGGAAGCCATCTTGGCCGTCTTGCAGGCGATTTGACAAAATTGTTTGGCGGATTGTGCAGCTGGCGCGGCCTTCCTGGTGGCCAGCGGAATTGGCCGAAGCCTTAGGAGGAGTCGTTGAAATAACCACAGCCACCTGAAGTTTAGCACGCCAGGCACTCCTGTGGCAAGACCACAGGGGGCGGCGGATGACAGAAAGCGCGCGTAGCATCGCGACTCATTCGTCGGGAGAAATAGCAAAGGGAGGTGTGGGAGGTAGGCAACCGGATGGTCAGATGACGGAAAGCGCGCGTAGCGTCGCGATCCGTTAGTCGAGAGAAAAACAAAGGGGGTTGTGAGGGCTAGGCAACATTGACAAAGGGGTTTGTGAGGGCTAGGCAACCAGCCGGTCAGATGACGGAAAGCGCGCGTAGCACCTCCATCCGTTAGTCGGGAGATATAACAAAGGGGGTGTGGGGGGTAGGCAGCCGGCTGGTCAGATGACGGAAAGCGCGCGTAGCGTCGCGATCCGTTAGTCGAGAGAAAAACAAAGGGGGTTGTGAGGGCTAGGCAACATTGACAAAGGGGGTTGTGAGGGCTAGGCAACCAGCCGGTCAGATGACGGAAAGCGCGCGTAGCACCTCCATCCGTTAGTCGGGAGATATAACAAAGGGGGTGTGGGGGGTAGGCAGCCGGCTGGTCAGATGACGGAAAGCGCGCGTAGCGTGCGGTCCGTTAGTCGGAAGGAGTGAAATTAGGGGGAGTTTGAGGGGGTGGCATTTGTAGCCCCAGATCTAATGACCCTTTTTCCCTGTTAACGGAGCCTTTAACATGGAAAGGCGGGTGCTTGAGCTGACTCAGGCATCCGTTAACAGGGAAATTGCGCGGAATTCCCTGTTAACGGGTGCCCGAGCAGGGTCAGGGCCTCGTTAACATGGAATTCCATGTACATTCTCTGTTGACGTGGCATTTGCAGCCCCAGATGACGGAAAGCGCACGTAGCGTGCGATCCGTTAGTCGGAAGGAATGAAACTAGGGGGAGTTCGAGGGGGGTCTAAGAAGCCGCAGTGGCGGTTGCTCTAGTAATCCGTTCCTTGATTCGGTTGCTTTACGAATCCGCAATGGCGGGTCTTGAGGCGCCAATCGCTGCTGAATCATCGCGCGCGTGACCGCAGTGGCGGAGTGCTGTAGTAGTTATCTGATTGGTTTCGGAGGCCGTTCAGTGTCGCCGCAGTCGCGGGTTGATGACATCCACGCACTGAGGTGCAGGTGAAGCTCTGATGTCCCATGCAGCAGAAGCTTTTGCCCTCACTGCTGTCCTGCCTCTTCCGTGGAGCACGTGAGCGCCCTCCTCGCGCCATCTTGGCGCCCCCTTCCGCCTTGTCCCCCCCCCCCCCCCTGCGCGGGAACAGCCGGGAACTCCTTGGACCACGCGGGCGCTCGAAGCACCCCCATGAATACAAACGTTCAAAGCAGTCCCAGGGGGCTGCTTTGAACTTCCGGACGTTCAAAGGCGTCCCAGGGGGCTGCTTTGAACGTTCTCGTAGAGGCGGGCCTCGGAGGGGCGCGCAGGGACCGAAGAGCGGCGCAGGCGCGGGTGGGGGCGTGACGATGGATCAGTGGTCTCCCCGCGGGGTTCACTCGGGGCGCCGTCTGGCTCAAAGCGACCCCCCCCCCGAACGCGACCTCGCTGCCCGCGCGCTCCTGCTTGCCCGCAGTTGCGGTTGGGTCAGCCGCAGTAGCGGACATGGGTTGTTCGAGCGAATGGGGCCCTGTGAGGGTGGAAGTGGCCTTGTGCAGCCGGGGGGGGTGGCTCCCGCAGAGTGCCCCCCTCCCCGAGAAGGACGTCAAGGTGCTCGACGCAGGGCCCCTTAGGGAAATCTCGCTCGTGCGCGTGAACATGTAGAAGAAATGGCTGCTGAAGGTGTGCGCGAAGGGTAAACCAACGCCAGGGGCGTTGAAGGCTTCCAACGTCTGGCAGGACGTGAAGGAGACACTGTCGAAACAGGGCGGCGCCGCAGTTGCGGGCGAGGAGAGCGACGAAGAGGGAGACGATGACGATGACCCAGTGATGGCCTTGGTCAGTGCTTCGGGCGCCACGAAGAGGCAGGCCGCGACTCCGACGTCCGCCAAACAGCACAGGACGGGGGAACGTAGCTCCAACCTGGTCTCGAAGATTGGCATGGCAAGATGCGAGGCTGTGGACAGACGCGCGGCCGCTGACTGCCTGCAGATGCCCGCCAGGAGCCACTTGAAGTTTCCAGACGACAGGGACGTTCGCAACGTGCGGGTGGCCAGCTTCAAGCGGCGGATGCTGTGGCTCGACGCTGAAGACCTTGAGTGGTTGATCGCGACGATCGCGGGCGACGTGGGCCTCGGTGGAGTGCCCGGTACCACGGGCGGCGATAAGGACGAAGCCGCAGTCGCGGACCAGGAAGGGCGGTGGGAACGTCAACCCCGCAGGAGAGGAGTGGGGGGGGCAGCGGGTCCGACCCCGCCCCCACAGTACGGCGCTAGCGAAAGCGCGGCCTGCTTTAAGGCCGCGGGACGTGCCAGCCGCGAAGCGGTTGAGGCGGGCCCTCAGGAGACGATGACGATGATGGCGGCAGCGGTGCAGCCCCCCCCCATTTTGCTGCTGCGCTGGCCGCACGCTCCTCCCGCCGGCGGTGACGCGCCAGGCGGGTCCCTCCTTCCGCCACGCGAAGCGGGCCTCGCCGCCGGTGCCGTAGGACACCGAGGCAAAGCCCAGGGTGGGTGGGCAAAAGAGGGCCCCTTTGGGCCCTGGGAGGGCTTTGAGCCCCGAAGGCTTGAGCGGGAGAGAGGGAAAAGGAAGGGCAAGCAGAGGCAGGAGCAGGGAGAGAGAAAACCCAAGCCGACTGGGGAGGGCGGGGTCCAACCGTTTAGGACAAACAACTAAGACCCCGCCCCCGCAGTACGGCGCTAGCGAAAGCGCGGCCTGCTTTAAGGCCGCGGGACGTGCCAGCCGCGAAGCGGTTGAGGCGGGCCCTCAGGAGACGATGACGATGATGGCGGCAGCGGTGCAGCCCCCCCCATTTTGCTGCTGCGCTGGCCGCACGCTCCTCCCGCCGGCGGTGACACGCCAGGCGGGCCCCTCCTTCCGCCGCGCGAAGCGGGCCTCGCCGCCTTTGTTCTATAATACGGGTGCTGCTGCCAGTGCCCCCGCACACTGGCCGCCTGGCGGGTTCTACGCGCCGGCGTGCTGTGTGGGCGCCCTGATGGGCGTCGCCAAAACTGGGTGCCAGGCGTTGCGTTGCCGGCACCGTCTAGGCACTGAGTCACGCATCGCCTGGCGTGTGCGCCGGCGCGCGTGTGAGGGCCCGACTGGCCCTCTGTCTGCCGACTGCCGCCAGGCAACTGATGCCGGCGTGTGCGGCTGTCCTCCGCGAGGCTAGGCCTTGGGCTCGCGCCGGTACCTTGATTGCCGGCGGAGCCCGACCTCGGGCTGAGGCCCGAGGGTGTTGTCGCTGGCGCTTGGCGCGGGCCGGCACTTGGCGTCCCCGTCGGCGCCGCGGCCTCCAGATCTCCCGGCTCCCCGCCTCCGCAAGTGCCCAAAGTGCACGGGGCGGGCAGGGTCCGGCCCCTGACAGAGGGGGATCCCCGGGCCGGCGCTGGGGTGCGGGCCCGCGCCTGCGCATGAATTCGAGCGCTGCGGCCGCCCGGGCCGTCGGACTGCCAGCTACTGTAGCACAGCTGGCGCCAGTATGCCCGGCACGCCCAGGCTTGGTATAGAGAGCCGGCGTGCCAGGCGGGTTCCGGCGTGATCCTCGTCCAGGG